CGACCCTGAGGTCAAGAGTTGCATGCTCTACCAACTGAGCCAGCCAGGCACCTGCTAGATAGGGTGACTTTTAAGAGGTTTTCTAAGCCTAAGGTTCTATGGATTTCATCAGAATACCAAAAAGAAAGAGGGAAGGAAGGCGGTAAGGAGGATGGAAGCTGGGTCATAACCGTCCATAGGAACTTTACTTACTAAATAATAGTAACCTTTTTATTTAGTTGTACATGCAAGAAAGGACACATCAGAGGTAGATAACTCTGTGCACTTTGCAAAGGGGACCATATGTGTAACTATGACTGTATCTTAGGACCGTAGGTAGAATGTCACCCGCTCCCCAGAAGCCCTCTTGAGCCCCTCCCAGGCATTCCCTCTACAGAGAAAACCACTTCCTCGACTCCTATCCCATAGATTAGTTTAGCGTGGTTTTGAACATGTATATAAACGGGACTATACAGAGCACTCTCTCATGTCTGGCTTCCTCGGCATAGTGTCAACACTGTGGGATTCATCCACGTACAAGTGAGCTGTTGTAGATGGATCCTTCATGTTGCCATGTGGAGGTTTGCCGTGAAGATCTATGGCTGTCTGCATCCTGCCATCTCGTCCTGTCTGCACTGCACAGGCCCACACTCACGAGTGCCCAAACCTGTGTGTGGATGACTGGGCAGACTACCAAGGAGGTCGCCCTAACCTCTAAGCCCAGGGTTTGGTCCTTCTTGCCTGGGTAGCACATGCTAACACGCAAGGTAGACTCCAAGTAAAGAGGGGGTGGGTGGCATAGGAGGTGGCTGTGCTGCATGGGAGATGGCGTGGACAGTCCCCGAGAGGCAAGCCAGGCAGATGCCCTGAGGCAGGGTGTTGGGCAGCATTTCCACAGCGGAACAGGCCACTGTTGTTGCTTCCTGAGCTGCCCTAGAGACGTGGAAAAGGCAGCTCACGCCTTTGGCCAGATGCCTGATGGCCTTTTAGGGTAGTTCAGCCTTGGCAGGGCCTGGTTCCCCTCCACGGAAGCAAAGATGAGGGGCCCCAGAGGGAGCTGCATTGACCCGTGTGGTTGTCCCAACGTCATAGTGGCCCATGCTGGTTAGTGCCCACACTGGTTGGTGCCTGGCGCCTGGCTGGGCTGCCCCTTGCAGGAGCTAGAGGGAAGGCTGGACGCTGGGAGGCAGAACGCCTGCTTTCTACTTCCTGGCTCTGCTGTGGATTTGGGAAAGTCACTTCCAGATTTCCCAGTGCCTTAGACTCCTCTGAGTGCTAATCCAGTGTCCTGATCTTACAGAGGCCCGTGGGGGGCAGGGGCGGGGAGGAGCAGGGCTGAGGCAGAGGCCTGGCCTGGTGTGAGCATAGGGCTGGAGCTTGTTTCCTTATATGACAGTGGCTGGGATGGCTCCAGTGGCTTCTGCATCCTCCTTTGTCCGCCTGGTTTGAGTTCCGGGGAGGCCTTGCCGGGTGGGGCAGGGCAGCTGCTTAGGAGAGGAAGAGCCCCTGGCCACCCTCAGCTGAGCCCACGGCCCCTTTGCTTGCCCCCTGCACAGTTTGGGTGTTATTTGGGGTGAGTCTTCACGTTTTCTCCTCTGTAGGGTACGTTCTCAGTCTAAAATTAAAAAGTGGCCCCGTCGCCTATCCCTGTGTCCCAGTGGGAAGTGAGACCGTGTTTAAAAGGCAGTACACGGGAGGGACAGCGAGGGGGAGCGTACCACCGTCAGATGGGGGTTCTTTTTCTGGTGCTTTTCTTCTTTTCTGGACAACAGCCCTGTCCTGACCCACCCAGCCCGCCTCTTTCCTTCTGGAACCACCCCGGCTCAGCTTCTCGGGCCAGCAGGCACCCCCACCCTCAGGTTGGCCCCTCCCTGCCCTCTGCAGGGTAAAGGAGCTCCCACACAGTCCTGGGTTTTGGATTAATGAAGCCCAGATGCAGGACTTCTGACTCTGGCTACAAGTTAGCTTTGGAGTAGCAGCACAGAGGGGCCATTTACCTCCCACTGTGTTCCAGGCCCAGCTGCTGCTGGGGCTGCCTGCGAACAGCTGGAGAGCAGGTCCTGACTGCCAATGAGGTGGAAGCCATGCAGGGTGTGTGGTGTGGTCAGGGCTCCAGGAGGTAATGGAGGGTGAGGCTCCGGGTGAGGGGTGGGGACCTGGCTGCACTCACAGGATGAGGAGGGCTCCCGTTTTCTATCCCAAGGAGCAGTCTAGATGAGGCCGCCGCTCCACAGGTCTCTGGTCAGGTTGGAACGCTGAGGGGCTCTGCAGAAAGGGGTCAAGACTAAAGGGAGAGAGGGTCAAGGAGGGCCCCATGGGTTAATGTCAAGTCTTCCAAACAAGAATGGGCCAGGGAGGGGCACCTGTGTCTCAGTCAGTAAGGTGTCCACCTTTGGCTCAGGTCATGATCTTGAAGTTCCTGAGTTCGAGCCCTGCATCGGGCTCTGTGCTGACAGCATGGAGCTTGCTTGGGATTCTCTTTCTCTCTGTTCCTTCCCCACTCTCTCAAAATAAGCACTTAAAAAAAAAAAATGGACGGGGGATGGCTGGCCCCTCCCTGGGTTGCCAGATAAAATATAAATATTGCACGGGAGAAACTTAGGGTAAGCACATTACTCTGTTTATCTATAAGAAGTTCAAATCTAACTGGGCATCCTGTATTTTACTGGCTAAATCTGGCAATCCTGTCTTTCCCTGCTGCAGCTGAACTTCTTTAAGTAATAGTTTTATTGAACTGCAACATACAAACAAACAGAACACAGACCATCAGTGTGTGGCTCAGTGAATGCCCACAAACCAAACACATGTGAAACCAGCCCTCAGGTCAAAAAATGAAATGAGCAGAACCTGCCCACCCCCCAAGCACCACCACTATCCCCGGCTTCCAACAGCTGCTATTTGCCCACTTTTATACTTCATGTAAGTTAAATATAAATTAAATCATACACAAGTAATTCTTTTGTGTCTGGCTGATTTCACATGACACTGTGAAGATCATCTATGCCTTTGGATATAGTTTCCGCTCACTGTCATCAGGCATAGCAGTGAGTTGTGTAGATAGAGCCCAATCTGTGACTGCATTCTGTTGGCATAGCAAGAGTGCACTTCTGCCTCGTGTGTGTGTGTGTGTACGTGTATACCTAGGAGTAGGATTGCTAGGTCATGGGGCAAGCATATGTTCATCTTTAGTAGACCTTACGAAGCAGTTTCTCAAAGTGGATGTACAATTTAAATTCCCTACCTGCTGTGTATGAGCTTCTCCGTTGCCCTACACCTTCACCAGCACCGTGCATTTCCCGTCTTTTTCAGGCTCTTTTTTCTGGTGTATGGTGGTATTGCCAACTGCTGCTTTTTTTCTCTTTCTAATCAAGAGCCTGTTGCTTTGTCGATTCCTCTGAATTTCATGACTCAGTGCTAAGAAAATCAACAAGGCCCCTGTGTCAGCCTGCTCAGCCCCACAGGAGCCGTTCGAGGAGCCATCCGTCCCCCACCCCTGACCCCCGGTTTCCCTTTCACCCAGGAGCCTCCCTCAGGTGCAGCCTGGGCAGCAGGAGGCTCTACCCAGGGTAAGTTGCAATGGAGCCCAGACCACTAAGTGCAGAAGTGGTGGGGCTAGATCCTGCCTCCCTGAAGTACTTGCTCAGTGTTTCCCAGTGCTGCCTATGGCAGGCTGTTCCCAATACCCGCTCAGTCCTGTGTGATGTCCTTCCAGGGAGGTGGCTGAGGGCACCTGTGGGGGTCCCTCCAACAGTGCTGTTACTCTGAGGGCATTTCTCCTCTAAGGAGCTGGATCCAGCCCAAGTGTTTTCCTTCAGGTTCCTCATGTTCCCTCTAGCTTCAGGACGTCTCCCTTGCTTCCTCTGATGGTGGCTCTCTGCAGGAACTGGGGACTGTGGCCACATCAGGGTCCATGCCAGGGGCTGATGTCTACTGCCCATGGGGGGCCACAGTGCATGGAGGTGTAAGAGAGACGTGAGCCTTGTGGTAGAAGTGGGCTGTGACGTGGAGCATGGGCAGAGGAGAGGCCCCTGACCCCTCTTCTCTTCACCCCCTCCAGCCTCCTGGGCCACTCCACCCCAGCGCTCTCCTCTGGTCTCCACTCCCCTCTTCTCTTCTTTTTCTGCTCCCTCCAGCCCTCAAGAACTCATGAAAATCAGAGTCCCGAACATTGGCATCTGAAATCCCCATCAGAGGCCTTCACTTCTAAAGAGAGCAGATAGTAGCCCCATCCGGAGTGAATCGGTTAAGACTGTTTAGTGCTAGACTAACAAGTCCAGCCCAAACTGAATGGAGCCACAGGCACTTCACTGGCTCACATGACCAATTGACCTACTGATTGGCACAGCAGGCTCTGGGTGTGGTCAGAGCTCTGTCCCCATCCTCTCTGATTCATCCTCCAGGCTCTTGCACAAGGAGGCAGGATGGTCACCAGCAGGTGTAGGATCACCTCCTGTCAGGTCAGTGGCCCTGCTGGAAAGGCACACCCGCTGCTGATAACTCCAGCCAGGGCACCGAGGCTACCTGTCAGTGGCTCACGGGCCTACCCTCGGAGGCCCCCGGATGGGGGCAGGTTCTCCAAAGGAAAGTCACTAGATGCTGGGTGAAAAAAAACAAAATTGAGCCCCATTCTCTATTACCCTACATGGGCTAAAAGATTCCAATGCTGCAAAGGACAGAAAAGGCAAAGTTCTGTGCAAAAGCGGCTGAACGTTGCCCATCTTTGTGTGTCCACGGATAAGTATGGATATTGAGAGAGGAAGACCAACTGAGAAGAAAAACCACTGTGCCAGCCTCTGAAATTAAAGTGACTTTAATTTTTTTCCTTTTGTTTATTTTTAAACCTTCCCATCACGTTTTATTGCTTCTAAAATAAATAACCAAAAGAGTAAGCCAGGGAGGTCCGGACAACATGGCTCTCCAACCTTCACCACTCAGAGGGCGTCCTGCCCCCGCGTGGACTTCAAGCCCACCTTCTCTCAGAGCGTCCCACCCCTCAGTGCCTCTTACTCCTTCCCTCACAGGCAGCTTCGAAGCCAACTCAGCCTCGTGGTCATTGCTCGGATGCTGGACCAACAAGAGACGCTCCCTCTCTGGCAAGAGAAGGCCCAGGTGAGTCTTTGCGTCAGCCGGGCAGCATCCATTGGGCCCAGGAAGCCTGCGGGTGGGCAGAGGGCTGTCCTCAAGTCCTGCCTGCACCTGAGGCTTTCCCCAAATGTTGGGGGCCTCAGGCCAGGAGAGCCAGGTTGAGTTTGAATTGTTCACTCATATCCTTGCATTCAACAGTTACTATTTTGTGTGGCTCCTCTGTACCAGGCACTAAGGATAGAGCAGTGAGCTGGGAGCATGAGTTACTTTTATTTTTTATTTAGTTGTCAAATATGCATGACATAAAATTTACCATTTTAATGTTTGGTTTTTGTTTTGTTTTATTTTTTGTTTACCATCATGACAATTTTTTTTAATGTTTTATTTATTTCTGAGAGAGAGAGAGCATGAGCAGGGGAGGGTCAGAGAGAGAGGGAGACACAGAATCTGAAACAGGCTCTAGGCTCTGAGCTGGCTGTCAGCAGAGTCTGATGCGGGCCTCAAACCCACGAACCGTGAGATCATGACCTGAGCCGAAGTCTGACACTTAACTGACTGAGCCACCCAGGCGCCCCCCATCGTGACAATTTTAACTATACCATTCAGCGGCTCTAAGTACATTCACAATGTCGTGCAGCCATCACTGCCTTCCACCTCCAGAAATTTTTTATCCTCCCAGATATGAACTCTGTACCTATTAAACATGAATTCCCATTCCCTCCTCCCTGGCCCCTGCTTATACTACTTTTTATATGTGGAAAAAAAACAGTGAAGGTGAAAACAAACACTACACACTTAAAGCTACTCACGCCTCGTGCCTCTCCTTTTCCAGTGTTAGGCATTCTTGGAAGAGCGAGAGAAGTACAGCCCTGTCGTCTTTCCCCACTCCCCCTCTCTCCAGAAAGCTCTGACGACAGCCTCGGTGCAGCTTGGGGCACTGGGCAGGGGAGGAGGTAGCATGGGTCACGGCCAGCCCAAGGATGGGAGACTGAGCGTGCTCTCTCTCTGCTTCCTAGAAGCTCCCTGGGACTCCAGAATAGTTGCTGGGTGCAGCCAAACCCTCTGGCCTGGCCACACAACACGGGCAAGGCAGTCCCTACAAAGGGCCCTGTGTCTCTATTTGTAGAGGTGTATAGGGGAAGCCTGAGTAATCTTTTGCCCAGAGTGCTGAGAGAATGTTCCAGCACATCCTGGGGCAGCCTGAACAATATAGCTGAGTCTGCAATGCCATGATCGTAGGGCGGGAGCTCAGAAAGCTGACTGGTTGGGTTTGCTTTTCAGAGTGGTCTCGGCCTGGCTTCTGCCCCGGCTGCCCCCTTTGCCATACTCTTCCCCTAGGATTTAGCAGGGCCGGAACTTCTTGTCATTCCAGTTCCTGCTAAAATGTCACCTCCACCTGGAAACCTTTCCTGACCACCCAATCTGAAGTGCACTGGCACCATCACCCTGTTTTAAATTTTATTTATGTTTACCTGTTTGTATTTTCCTCCTGATAGTTTCTTATTTATTTGTTCAGGGTCTTTGTTCACACACACACACACACACACACACCCAACAGCAGCTCCTTGAGTGTAAGGACCAAATGCTTTCAGCTCCCCACTGCCTGTTGGCACCTAGCATAGTTCCTGGCACACATAGGAACTCAGTGCACACTTGTGGAGTGAACATGAGCCTAAGGTTGAGTTCCTGCAGTGTGAAAGAGGGAGTTCCCTTTCCCTGGAGACCTGAGGAGGGGTGGGTGAGTGAGGGGCCTGCACTGGGGTCACTGCACACCGGGGAAAGCCCTATGACAGAGCATCTCTGTGAAGGAGGATGAACCAGTGTCTTAGGGGTGCCAAGCAGTTAGGAGTGGGGGCAGGCAGAGGTGCGGCAGGCAGACAAGACCCAAGTGCTCCCAGTGGGCTCTGGAGGGCAGATGGGGGTCACCAAGCCCCAAGGAGAACAGAGCACAGTGTCAGCAGAGCAGAGGGACAAGGCCTGAGCATCGAGATCAGGAAAGGAAGACGGCCACAGGTGGAGGGGAGGTGCCGCCCCGCTGCAGTGTTTGGAGAGACCAGAAAAGGGTGGCTCGAGGATCAGAGTCAATTTAAGGCTTGGGCTTTGTTTTGATGTGTTTTTTATTGGCTAGAGCCTGGGCATGGGAGATTGAGGGGGGCATGATGGGGATCAGAGAGCTGGGAGGGGAAGTGCTATGGATTGTCTGGCCCAGGCAGGCCCCTGGAGGGAGGCAGTGAACAGTGCTCCTCAGGGTGGGGATGCCACCCCCGCCGGGGGAGAACTGCCCTGGGAGCCCCCCATCTGCTCCCCAGGGCTCAGCCCACCCAGCTCCAGGCCTTTCCAACCAACCAGTCCCCTACATGGCCACCGTGTGCCTATCTGTTCAGGAGACCCTGGCTGAGCACCACCTCTGTGCCAGGCTCTGTGCCAGGCTCCGCATTGGGAACCACCCTCAGAAAAGAGGGTGTGAGCAAGGTAGGCTGAGGGCACAGTGACTAAGTGTGCCCGAGGGCAGTGAAGTGGCTTCCAGAGAAGGTGTCCTGAGCCAGCTCTTGGAGGCTGAGTCAGTGCTTGTGTTGCAGAGAGGAGGGTCTGCAGGCAGGCACCAGCCTCCTGGCGGCTCGGCTCCAGGAGAGGAAGGACCAGCCGGGGCCTGCCCGAGGCCCTCCCCGTGTGTTTCCCCCATCTCTGTGCAGGCCCGGGGCTGCCACGCAGGCCGCCCAGGTCTCCAGGCTGTAGGCGCTCCCCTTTCCAGTCTGGCCTGTCAGACGGATCCTGGCTTTCAAAGGGCCACCGTGGCCCCACAGCCGCCCACATCAAACCCGCATGCCCCCTTTCCCAGCTTCTCCTCCATGTGGCCTGCCTGTGCTGCCTGTTTTTCTCTGCCCTCCTCGCAGGCCGACCCCACACCCTCTGCACACAGCTCCGTGCCCTGGCCCTCCTTCCTTTCCACCATCACATCCCAACCAAGACAGCGGCAGCTAACGCACTGCACAGCATTGGCCGTGTCCCAGGTGCTGTTCTCAGAGCTTACCTCTCATAGGAGTCCAGGCAGTAAAGGGCTGTTACCATCAGGTGTTTCTCATAGATGAGGAAACTGAGGCAGGTGCAGTTAGGAAACTTCTCAGGTCATACAGCTTGGAGCTAAGATTTGACTCCAGAGTCCTTGCCCTCGACCACTGCAGCATGCCATCTCCACTTCTCCAGCCCCTTACTCAGCCCTCATTGTGGTGACAGACCGGGCCACACCTGCCACTTCGTGCTGAAGATGCCCCGCGGCTCCCTTGAGCTTTACTCCTAAGTGGCAGATAGGAGGACAAGGGCTGTCTCTTCTGCTTCCTTCATCGATGTGTAAATGTTTGATAAACCTTATCAATAGACTGACTATGAAGGGGAGTCTAAGGGTTGAGAATTGACTCCCCGAGGAGAGGATCTGGGGTGAGTGCCTGGCCAGAGGCCTCGCAGGCACTGCTGGGCAGGAGGAGCCCCTGACCCCTGGATGGCGTGGCTTTCTGTCTCGGGCTGCAGTCTGAAGCTCTAGAAACAGGAGCTGAAAAACTGAATTGGAGGGATGGGGCTTCTGTAGCTAGTCAACACCCCCCAAAACTTGTATTTCCAAGAGAGCTTCAAGGTCAGGCCCACTTCCTGTTGTCCCTGGGAATCCTGGGATGATCCCAGAAACAGCAGGGCTTTGACCTCATGCACCAGTATGCTCCAGACATTGCTCAGGGCACTGAAGACACAGCCCCAAACAGAACTCAGTCCCTCCCTTGTGAAACTCATGCTCCCCGGGGGGAGATGGACACAGGCACCAAGAAGCAAATATTTGGCATACTACATGGTGATAAGGGCTCTGGAAAAAAATAAAGCCAGATAGATAAAGAGGAGACGGAATGTTGAGAGATGGGGACATGTGTGCACAGAACTGAAGTCCAGCAAGTTTCTTGGAACAGCAAGTGCAAAGGCCCTGGGGCAGGCAGAATTCTCTTAGGTTGGAGGAAAAACAGAAGCCATTATGGCTGGAGCAGAGGACCAAGGACAGAGTAGTAGAAGTTGAGGTCAGACAGGTAAGTGGGGATTCCATCCACCAGAGCCTCAGGACCGTGGTAGAGGCTTTGACTTTCATGCCGAAATGGAGAGCCACTGGAAGGTTTTGATGAGAGGAACAGAATCTGATTCATTAAATATTTTGAAAGGCTGCTGGGTTGAGCGTAGATCATTGCAGTAATCCTGGTAAGAGATGATGGTGGCTTGGCCTGGGGAGATCGTGTTGAAGGTGGTGAGAAGTGTAGGATTCGAGGTGTATTTCCCAAGTACCACCAGTGGGACACGAGATGTGAGAGAAGGAGACCAGGAGGGCTCCGGGATGTAGGTAGCTGGCAGGATGAAGAAGCCCTTTACTGAGATCGGCAAGACACAGGTAGAACAGGTTCGGAGACAAGTTAGCAGTTTGCTTCTTATCCCAGGCCATCTCTTGCAACACAGCAAACCTCTTCTGTCAAACCACGTCTTCCACTTTGGAGTCTGGAGAACATGGGCTTTAAGTGGCCAAAACGGAGGAGGACAAGGGTCTGCATCTCCTAGGGAGAGGCTGGCTGCAGTCCTGCCCTGCCCTGCGTTCATTCGTTTGTTTAATGAGTGCTAATGAAACCTACACCGCACGCCAGGTGCTGTGCTGCACAGCTGGGGATGCTGCAGTGAACGAAACTTGCCCTAGGAGGCCTTACCTTCTAGTGAGGGAGGGGGGACAGGTAATAAACACAATAAACAGGTAAATTACATGCCATGTTAGGAGGTGGTAAATGTGATAGGAAACAAAAATAGTTCAGGGCGAGGGGATCGGGAGGGGTGGGTGGTGTGGACGGCAGCGTAGACAGGGAGCTGGGGCTGGAAGAGAGACGGGCAGCTGTGCGTGCCTGGTCAGAAGGCCCAGTCAGAGCACAGGCTGCAGGGAGCAGCAGGGCCTCTAGGGCTGACACTTAAGACCCTGGCCTTGTCCACGGGGCAGATAGAAGCACTGTCAGGGTCCGGGCACAGGAGTGACCAGCCATGCGGACAGATGCCCGGCTGGAGCTCCTCTTCCCCTTCCTCCTTCCAGGCGGACTGACGAGACCAGTGGAGGCCTGCCTTCTTGGGTGATCATTTGCCTCTTGCCTGGAGGTGTCTGTCCTCATGGGCCGAGTGTTTGTGGAGACAGCTTCCAGCGGTGGGGGTGAGGTGGGGCGGTGCAATGTCAGGTCCCGGCCCTGCTGGGATGCACACGGTCCAAATATGCCCTTATCCCCGCGAGGGGTGTGGCTGCCAGAGCTGGAAACAAAAGAGGGTAAGCAATCAGAAGGCCACAGCTTGCTGCGCTGAGCAGGGCGAAGCCGTTTTCACGGGGAGGAAAAACATAGGAGCTATGGCGCTGCAGTTGTGTGCCCTGCCCCAGCCCTGGCTCCTGTACAGGGAGGGTCCTGGGGCGAGGCTGGCTGCCTGAGGACTGCTTCTGGGGGTGTGGGCTGCAGAGCCTGGCCCCCGTGCTTGCACAGCTGTGATCCCCGAGCAGGCAGGGCCCTTTTGGAAACTATCCCCAGCCTTGCAAGGCCTGAGCCAAACAGCACGGCTCTGGTTTTGGTGAAGCTCCAGATGGTGCCTCTCTTCGCCCAGAACCTTCTCTCTCTCTTTCTGTCTTTCCCTGTCTCTCTCTCTCTCTCTCTCTCTCTCTCTCTCTCTCCTCTTTCCTCTTTCCCTGCCTCCTCCTCTCCCTTCCTAAAGGGATGAGACACTAGGCCAAGAAGACCTGGCCCCCATCCAGGAGCCAAGGCCTCAGGCCTGTCTCCTAGCCCTCAGCCCAGCTGCTCTTGTGGGCTGTCTGAGCCTGTGGCCGGCTGAGGTGCTGAGCAGGTGTCTGCGGGTGAGTCGGCGGGGCGGGGCGGGGAGGAAGCCAGGTGTGCCAGGCAAGGCTGGGCTCGAGCAGGGAACCGGGTCAGGGGCTCAGGCCTAAGTCCTTCTGGCCAGCCTACACCTGCTACATCTAAAAAGACGGTGCCTCTGTGAACTCCCCTGGCTCTGCTTCTTTGATCAGCAGCCCCCCTTTCCCAGAGTCACACATGGCCCCAGTGGGGCCAAGGACTCAGGAACTGCCTGCCTTTTGCCTCTGGCCGCAAGTTAGCTCCAGGGCAGCAGCTGAGCCCAGGCTGCCCAAACCAGGTGCAGGGCCTGGGCCAGGAGTGGCTCACTGCAGACACCTGTGGGGCCCTGTTTCTGGGAGGGGTGGGGGCACTCCCATTTGTGCAGGGGGGAATGCAGTTTACACGGGTGGTGGGGCGGCTGGCAGATTAAGTGACATATCAACCAAATGCAGCGTGTGCACCTTGTGGGGAATCCCCATTCCAACAGCCCAACTGGTGAAGATGTCTTTGAGACAATCAGAGAAAACTGAACATGGTGTGAGACCACATAAGGAATTCTTGGTAATTTTGTTGGGCAGGAGAATGATGCTGTGACCATGCTGGGGAGAGAAATCCTTATCCTTTTCGGTTAGAAGCTCTTTATGGGTAAAATGATACAATGTTTGGATTTGCTTTAAAATCCTCTGGAAGGAAAAGGGCGGGGGCGGAGAAATGGGGGCAGGCAGAAAGATGTAGAGCGAGCGGCAGTCATTAGAGGGGGCGGCCTCTGCTCCTGTGTAAGCCTCTCCAGTCCCCACAGCAAGTTCAGCAAAGAGACAGACACGAGAGGCCTGAGCAGCAGCTCCGAGTGGGAAGGATCTTGCCCTCTTTGCTGGCCTTCGTTCTTCCAGCCCCGAGTGCTTGCTCCAGGGAAGTGGATCAAACAGCCAGCCTACAGAGATCTTAGTTCGTTCCTTTAAGGGAAGGCTGGGCCTGTGCTAGGCACCATGTGCATGCATGGGCCTCCTCTCCTGGGAAGAGGGTGTGTGGTTGTCTCCATTTTGTCTTGGGCTCCAAGAGGCCACACAGCGTGTCGGTGAGAGGTGGAGCCACGTCGTGGAAGCTGGTGGTCTGGCGCCAGAGCCCACGCGCTGACCTGCTAGTGCCAGCCGAGTGTCCTAGGCACCCACTGTGTGACGGCCTCTCTTCTCCTCCCTAGCTGTCTTTGCTCGGCCAGCTTCTGAGCTTCATGAGGCCATCATCCCTCAGACAGTATCTGGGCTCTGAGACCTTGCCACCCTGCCAGGAGCAACAGCCAAAGACCAGTGCTGAACTAGACCACAAGGTGAGCACACAGCACCTGCCTACCTCAGCCAGGGCGCCACACCGCCCGGTAGAGGGGAAGGCAGAGCTGTCCACACTGCAAGCCTCTAGGGCCTTCTTGCTGCCAGTCCTCCTAAAACCCCAGGGCCTTTACAGTTCCAGCAGGCTGCCTCCCTCTGGTGAGAGGAGGTGCTCACCATCCCCGCATAGCCAGTCATTAGGGCCCTTGCCAGTGCCCCTCACAGAGGCTCAGTGGGGCGCTGTGTGCACAGGCACGAGTCCCCCTGGCCCTGCTCCTGGGTTTTGCTGCATTCTTTATGGTCCCATATGGATTTGCTAGCTGTGGGGTGCTCTGTTGTCTTACAGCACAGTTTACAGAGGATGCAGGGGCTAAAATAATGCTAGTGAGGGAAGTGGGGCTGGGAGGGAATGTCGAGATGTGACAGCCATTCTGTGTTCCTAGGGCAGAGCTGGGTGCCTCCTCCCTGTTATTCGCTGTGGTTGCCACTGAGGCTGAGGCCTTGGTCTTTCCTCAGTTCTTCTTAGTTGACTTCCCAAACATTGCCCAGCTTTCCCAAAAGCCATGCTTTGCTGGGAATCTGGGGCAAAGAGGTACCCGGAGTCTGCAGGTTGTGGGGTTTGGAATAATGAAGCCTATGGACCCTTGGGGTGAACGTCAGGCAGGGGCAGTGGTATAGGGGTGTAGGGGTTTCCGAGTGGGAGCCCCAAGCCTGGCTCTGGGAGGTGGGGAGGGTGGGGGTTGTGTGTATCTCAGTGAGCTCCCCTATCCCTCGAGGGATGAAGAGTAGAGATAGAGATCTTCCTAATTTAGGAAAGTGGTAATTCCAAATCTCACTCGGAGGTTGGGTGTTGATGATCCAGAAGTCCACCCTTTGGGCATTGCTTTGCAAATCAGATAAATGAATTAATTTACTTAATGAACACAAATGAACCATTAAGAAGATATGATAATCCCAGGTGTATGTGCCTCTTCTGGAACATGTAGGTAAGGTTATCTTTTAGCTGTGCCTAACATTAGTGCATTTACGAGGCTTTTGCCTGCCTTCCAGGAGAATGTGAGCTGTGTGCCTGCCCTGTTCTCGTTCCCCATCTATTTCCTAGGAAATGAGCTGGTTGTGGAGGCTGTGTTTGGATGTTCCAGGGCCTCTAGAAGGGAGGTGGAGTCAGCCCATGGGCAGGAAGGGTCTGTCTGAGCAGGACACAAGGGGCAGGCAGGGCCCAGGCTGGGCTAGGGGAAGGAAAAAGGAGAGAGGAAGAAGGGGCAGTGGTAGCGGAAATGATCTGCCCAGCGAGGAGTGTGCGTTGCAGACACTTTGGAGGCCACCCTGTGACTGCACCCAGCAGAGTTAGGCCTGCCAAGCCAAAGGCTTCCACTTGGCTCCTTGCTTTTCGTAGCCCATCTGGTAGCAACTGTCTTTTCAGCAACCAGGAAAGAAGAGGAGGAAGCGGGCTGAGGGGATCCTTTATTTTGAGCACTGTTCTCATGCATATAAAGGGAGCTGTGTCCCCCTTGTCAGGTGCCATATTGGAAATGACCCGTTGGCCTGGAAACATGGAGGGGACGGTATGTCTCAGCAGGGTGTCCCAAAAGTGTAGGGTTAGGGTGTTGGCCCAGCCCAGGGCAGCGAAGGGGCACATGGGTCTGAGGGCAAGTGAAGGGGACACATGAGGCCAATGCAGTTCTCCAAGGCCTTTGCTGCAGCTTGAGCCCACCTAGGATTGACCTGGAGCAGAGGAGGGAAAGGGCACTGGCCTGGGAAGGGGAGGAGGTGGGGCTGGTTCCGGCACGCGGGTCTGCACAGAAATGGGAAGAATTCCCGTCCCCCTGGGCGGGTGCTGTGCTGACCACGAGGGGCCAGGTGGGGCAGGTTCCCGGCTCCCACAGCCCAGCCCTGCTCCCACCTTGGCCAACTGACTCCTCATTAGGCCCAAGGATGTTTCATCTTCAAAGGTGATCAGGCTACTCACCAGCCAAAAAGAGCAGCGGCGTCACCCGCCCTGTTTTACAGGGAGTGGTGGTCTGGGCCTGGGCTGAGCCTTTCATCCCGAGAGCTCAAAGTCTTTGGCTTCCTTCCCTCCAGACACAGTGGGGAAACTGAGGCCAGAGTGAGCATGGCCCCAGGCAACCTAACCTGGAGGAAATAGGACTTTCCCAGCCCTTGGGGCAGCAGTGCTGAGCCCCATCCCCCCAGGCCCTGCTCACCCCCCAGTCTGGGAGATTTCCTGTGAGAGGCTGGGTGACTGCCCTCCTCCAGCCCTACAGATAAACACTTCTGCCAGGCTCCCCTCCCCCTGCTCTCCCCACCTCCTCCTTTGCAGGGGGCGGGGCGTGGTTTGGCCCAGTCTCCTCCCTCTCCTAGGAAGCTCCCAGCCTTCTTCCCCTCCCTGCCTTGTCCTCCCGAGGCTGGGAGTGCTGCTGACTGGTGCCCCAGGGCTTGACTTTCTCTTCTCACTTACCCTGTGGGTTTGCAGTTGACCCTTTACTTGTTGATGTCCCCAGCTGGACCACGGGCACAGCCGGGGCTTCTCGGGAGGGCATGGCACTAGATGAGTGAAGGAACGAATGAATGAATGCAACCTGAGTTCCTCTCCCCCTCCCTGAACTCTTTTCTGCCACCCCATTCTGGCCATCCAGCCTCCTGCCTCGCTTCTCGAAGCCTCCCTCCCTCCGCGTGCTCTCTGACCAGCCTCTGCTTGTCAGCCGCCTTGTCTCTTAGAGTCCTTGTGTCTATAAGGCCACAAGGGTTTATAGCCTGCACTTCTCGTGATGGAGGTCCTTGACTTCAGAAGTGTTACCTGCCTGTGAGAGAACCAATGAGGGCACATTGTTCGTAATTATAAGCTAGTGAGATTGCTGCCTGGGAAAGCTAACCACCAAGAACAACAAAAAGCAGCAACATGGTCCTGCTGCAGCCCTGCAGGGAGGCCGGAGGGGAGGCCACAGGAGGGCTCCTGCCCTGGCTGTTTGCCCTAGATGGGTCAGGGCACAAAGTGTCCTAGCAAATCATGGCAGAGCTTGTGTCCAATAGGAAATTCTGACAAAAAAGGAAGAAAGGATTCTGCTTCCTAACGAGGTGATTAGAACACATCGAGCAATCTGAAGTGCTCTCGATGAAGGAAGGATTGGTTGGCCCCTTGGTGGTTATCACTGGCCCTGTGCTCACTGGGTTTGAGCAGGGCTCTCCCAGAGGAGAATAAACATGGAGGCCGGAGTGAGGCATGGGGGTCTGAGACAAGCCCCCGGAGAGGCTGTGCCCATTCAGCTGAGAGAGGTGTAGAGGATGTTTTCATGCAGGAAGCAGCTCCAGAGAGCTGGCCTCCCAGTGCCTCCCTTTGGTCCTTGGGTACAAGTTCAGTAAGAGACCAGTGTCCCTCCCCCCCGCCCCCCGCCCCAGGCCTCTGTGTGAGAGACTATTCTTTTTTTTTTTTTTAATTTTTTTAATATTTTTATTTATTTCTAGGAGAGAGAGAGAGAGAGACAGCGTGAGCAGGGGAAGGTCAGAGAGAGAGGGAGTCACGGACTGAAACAGGCTCCAGGCTCTGAGCTGGCAGTCAGCACAGAGCCTGACGCGGGGCTCGAACCCACGAACCGCGAGATCATGACCTAAGCGAAAGTCGGACGCTTAACCGACTAAGCCACCCAGGTGCCCCTGTGAGAGACTATTCTGACTGCTCTGCAGACAGACATGTGACTGGATGTGATTTGCTGCCGTCCCCTCAAAGCGAACCACTCAGCTTCTAACCCAGAACCGGGAGTTTCCTTTTAGCTGACTTCCGTGGACCATCTTGGGCCAGATTTTGTCTAGCTGCATTCTGCCCAACCTCAGAGTGTTGGCCTATTCACTTTTATTGAGATTATTGATGTTTTGGTCTTGTTAGACCTGCCATTGTATGTTCTGTTTCTATTTACCACACTTTCCTGCTGTTTCTTATTCCCCCCCCCCCCCCCCCCCCCCCCCCCCCCCCCCCGCCCAACCTCTCACCCAGCCCTTTGCTGTAGTGAAGGAACTTTTGTTGTTCCATTTTTTCCCCTGGGGTTTTGGAAGGTCTACAGAACCAGAATCTTTATAGTGGTGTATAAGATTTTCCCCAGTTTGGATAAATTTGGAATCTTGGACACAACTGTCATTGGGAAGAAAACAGACGTCCACAAAGGGGGATGTCCCAGAGTTGGAGCTGCATTGAGGCACCAGGAGCTGGGTTCCTGTCTCGTCCTCCTGGGCATGTCCTCCATGCAGCCTGATGAGTGTCCTTGTGGGGCAGGCAGTGTGGGGCCTACTGAGGGCTCTGCATCTGTGATGGTCCTCATCTCCCCCCCGGGGGGTGGCAGGCGCTGCGGGAGGCCCCACCACCCAAAGCAAGCCTGAAGACTGCAGGTAGCTCCAGCCAGCTTCCTCACCATACACAGCACTGGCTGTCTGGCTCTGTGCGTGTGAGGCTTGGGGATGGCTTGTGTATTAGAGAAGTGTGCGTGTAGAGAGTTGATTTTATGCGGGGGCGGGGGAGCGCTCCAAGCTTGAGTGATGCTCTGGTAAACAGACTCTGCCCTGGCCCACTAGACTCCTTTGAGCTCATTCCTGGGTCTCTGCACATCTTCTGCAGAGGGTGTGGGCTTGCCCGTTTGTGTGTGTGTCTGTGTGTCTGTGTCTGGGTGCATGCGTGTATGCCTGTGTGCATATGTGTTGTGTGGATGTCTTTATATCTTTGTGGTGTGCCCCCGTGTTAATAGCGTTGACAAACAAGTTTTACTGCTTTTGCTCCTGCTGCAAAGGCAGCTGGTCTGTCCCTGTGTCGGTAACCCTGCCAAGAGCAGCCTGAGAGACTGGGGTGTGGTTTGGGAGGTTGTGGGGAGTGGGCAGAAAGGGTGCCGCTAAGCCCCGGCAGCTCATACCCCCTCAGGCTTGGCTGGAGCACAGGCCCCTCACTCTGGGTCACCCAGAAGCACAGGTAGAACAGGAGCCTCTCCACCCCCCCACACTCCCCACCTTCTCACCTGCAGGTGCCCATCCTTATTTCCTGCCCCTCACCCTACACCTTAGGGAGAGTCATACCCACAGGGCTGGAGACCTTGGTCAGGGCAAGATTAGGGTGGGTTAGGAAGAAACCAACTAGTTGTGAGAAACAGAAAACAAAAGGACACCTGGGTGGCTTAGTCAGTTAAGTGTCTCACTCTTGATCCTGGCTCAGGTCGTGGTCTCACGGCTTATGAGTGTGAGCCCCACATGGGGCTCTGTGCTGACAGTGAGGAGCCTGCTTGGGATTCTCTCTCTCCCTCTCTCTCTGCTCCTGCGCTCATACACACACACATACACTCACTCTCTCTCTCTCTCAAAATAAATTTAAAAAAAGAAACAGAAAACAGATATTCAAGAATCCTGAGTTCTTTCCTGCCTAGTCTGTAGTCGGTTCCTCCTTACTTACTCCAAGGAACATTAAACATCTTTTTGAAATAAACTTCAAAGAGATGGCCTCTGGGAAGCTGACCGGAAGGGGTGATCCAAGCATCAGTCCCAGGTCACACCCACCTAGGAGGCTGTTGTGCCTCTTCAGAATGGCTACTTCTGAGCATCTGATGGCCACATGGGGCCCAGGCCCAAACCATCCTTGTTTGGGTCCTGGGAACTCTGGCTTCCTTGCAAGTGTATGAGCAGGGCTTGAAGTGACAGAATTAAAGCTGGGAGGAGGGCAGGCTTGGATTCTTCAGGCAGCTTCTGAACCTGCTCTCTGCCCCAGGCCCAGCCCTTCTGTGACCCATGGGGGTCCCTCCCTCAGGCCCATCCCGTACCCCATGCAGGGTGACTCATCTGCTTCTGGCCTGACACTCTTTCTCTTCATCTTTTGAGTCCTCCTAGACTACCTGTGATTGTCTTCCTCCCATTCTCACATAAGAAAAGGCAATTCTGAGTGCCTGTCCCATCACATTCAGCCCCTCTGTCAGCAGACCCTACTTCCTGCCTTTAGCTTTCCTACTGCAAGTCAAACCACACCATTTGATTCCAGGCAGGGGACATCTTTCCCAGAAATCCTGGGAAATGTGAGATGTCAAGCCTCCATTCTCTTTGTTCCTGCTGTTCCTTCTTCCCGCCAGTGCCTGGCCTGTCTTCCCTGTACTTGGATTCCCATGGTCATTACAGTCGGTTCATTTGTCCCATGGCCTGTCCACACATTGCTTCACACAGCTAAGTAGAGTGACCTTTGAGGATCGGGTCCAGAGTCAATCTCAGCCGCATCCCACTGCTCCCACTGAAATGGCAGCCCTGAAATGGCAGCCTTTGGGAGGAACCCTTTCCCACTTCCCCTGCATCCAGCCCCTCCCACTGGTCTCTCCTCCTGGGCTCTACCTTCTAGGGAACAGTGCCTTCTAAGTCATCACCATGCAGTATAGGGAATGGGAGGCTGGGACACTGATAAAGGAGGGAGCAGGATGCTGAGTACCCCCAAACCTTAGATGCTCATGGCCTGGTCTGCAGCCGTTGGTAATGGCCCTACTCTCCAGTATCTGTGGGAAGTATAAGGACAGTGCTTTCTAGGTTCTTCCCACTTCAGCACACCAGGTGAACTCACCAGTTCAGTGAGTGAAAGAGAAAGATAAGAAAGAGCAGAAGCTTTTGAGGAAACGGTTTTTGAGGAGGTCACTACTCTCTGCAGCCTCTCCAGCCCCTGGAAGCTGGCCATGCCAACACCCTGGCTGGTTTCAGTGGCTCCCTCCAACACTGGCAACCCACATACTGATACGCATGTGCATGACCGGCCCTCAATTCTCAAACATTAGCAGTGAGAATCTTGTCCTTCTCTGGGTAGTCAGCAGAACTGGGTTTCCGGTCCACATACCCCTGGGGTCAGGGTCTCTCATCCCAGCTGGAGGAGCAGGAAGAGCCAGCCAATCCCCCCTTGTCATCTCCCCTACCCCCCACGGCCAGCAGGAAACCAGAAAGGAAGGGTGAGCTGGGTGGGAGCAGTCTAGCAATGGTCTGCCTACAGCCCCTCATTCCTCCCACCAGAGGACACAGGAATGGGTCAGATGCTTTGAGATAACCTCCCTGTAGCAGATCCACAGGAATTAAAAGCCCCCAGTCTTTCTGCTTTTGTCCCAACTCCCATCTCTTTCCTACTCCTGCTCCACTATGCCAGAGGCTCCCAGTTCCCTCCCCATCCTCAGTACCAAGAGTAGGTGGCCAGGGCTGCTCAGGGTCCAGTTTGGGATAAAGCTTAGAATTCCTCTGTCTGTCTTGGGTGTAGGATCTTGAGTCTCTGGGTCTTGAGTTTCTGACCCCGGGCAGAGAAGTGTGAGTATTTTCTCTGGACAGCCAGAAGTCTGGGTAAGAGGCTCATATTCTGAGGAATCTGAGCAGGTGGGCACATGCTAGGCCACCAAGATCCTTCAGCAGTCTCCATGGACACTGCCTGCCCATCCATCCAGCAGGGACCTGAGAGCAGCTCTCTAGGCAGTGGCTGATCCCCACAGCTGAGCCAGAAGTCCAGTTCCTGTCCAAACTCTGCTGGCATGTCTCCCATCACCCTCAACTGGCCTCATCTCTGCTCCACGTTTGGGTTCCACCCACTCCTGTGCCTACACCCGCACTTCCATTTACAGAATCAACTGCCTGGCCTTGTACGCTCAAGGGTAAGTGTGGCAGGGACCCTGCCTTTGACTTCTGCTGTCTGGCCTCTCAGCTCTGTGCCTTCAGAGATGCTGGGTGAGGAAGAGGCCTTGCGGCCCTGTCTCATTTCCTAATTAACAGTCATGCATCCTTGTCATTTCCTTCTTGGTAGGACTTATGACCCATGACCTGTCCTGGCCAGAATATCTTCCAAACTCAGCTTTCCGTTGGGCACAGCCCTCTGCTTGCTGCTTTAGTGCTGGCACAAGCCGAGGTCAGGGAGTAACCTTGGAGCAGTAGCAGCATGAGCAAGGGGAGTATGTCATGTGGTTTGCTTGTGGGCACAGGGAAGAAATAGCATCCTAGAGGTGATGGCAGGTGCCACACTCCAGGACCTGTCCAGACGGGATTCACCTACAAAAACGCATCCCCTCTCATCTTGTGTTCTTGTGGACGTACCAGCTGGACAGGGTTTGGCTCTCTCACCAGGCTAAGGCTCTTGGCCTGGGGCCTACAGGTGGCCCTACCTTAGGATTACTCGTTACTAATTATTGTTGTTATTTGCCCATCCTGTGGTAGACTACCCGGACCATGCCCCTGGGGCTCAGGCTTGGGGCCCTGCTCCCTGTCCCAGGGGTGCGGTCTCATCTTCTCCTGGTCCTACCATGAGCAGGCTCTTGGGCCCCCGCTGTGCAGTGCTGTTCTTTCTGAAAGGGGGTGTCTTCAGTGTTAACTCCCCTTTATGAAAAACACACACGCACAGAGCTTGTTCAGCCTTAGGGAGAGAGTGCAGACATCTGCTTCAGACCTAACCCTTCCTGGAGACGGTTATGTAGTTGGGGGACCTCTCCAAGCTCAGCTTCCACATCTGCTCAAAATGAGAATCATCAGGCCTCTCTGGGAGCCCTGCTGGGTCAGGGCACTCTGAAGTGGTGTTGTAGGTTTAAATTTAATTTAGAAAAGAAAGAAAGAGAATTCGTGGAGGCCCAGCCCTAGCCTTGGGTCTGAATTGTGCCCTGGTAGAGCAGTGCTGCTTCAGCTTTTCCCAGACTAGATTAGTTCTAGACCTGCAGCATGTGTGCGTGCATCTGTCTCCAACCTAGCAAGAGCTGTGAGTGGACCGACGGGTGACAGTGCTGGGACCTGTGCAGAATTCTCCCCCTGGGTTCCATCGTCAGGCCCCCCGGACAGAGCTGAGAGCAGCCTAGCCAGATTGCAGTTGAATGCAGGTCTTGTGAGCATAGAGAGGAGACAGCAAAGGAGGCTGCTCTGGGCTCCTGGCATCCCAGGCAGGGTAGCTGGTAGCCGTAGGCATTCAGGGCCAGCTTCCTGGAGGCCATGTCCTTTGGGTCAGTCTTGGTTTTCCCCAGCAGGTGTTCCTGAGTCAGACTTTGTTCCCCAGGCCCCACCCCCAGCACCCCAGCAGCTGCCCCAGAATCTGCTCCCACAGGATGCCCACCCTGCCTGGCAGCCTCCGGAGGGCTTGGTTTGGAGACTTGCCTAGGGTAAGCCTGGATCCTTGATCGTGACTAGAGGCGGGAGAAACCATAATGTTCTGGCCAGAGCGAGTGGCTTCCTGGGAGATCCTCTGCCTCTTTTCTGCCCATTTTGTGTGTGTGTGTGTGTGTGTGTGTGTGTGTGTGTGTGTGTGTGTAAGTAAATAAATAACCCAGGCCATAGCCTTCTCCCTTGGCATTAGCTGGAGGGGAATTTTCTAAAGGATGAAGTTCCTGGGAAATGTTCACCCTTTTTTCCTTTCGTCTTGTGACGAAAGTGCTACAAATGGAGACTTGGCTGATGGTTCCCGGGGTCAGAACTAGCTGGATCCGAAAAAGAAGCCATCTACTTTCCCCTCCTCCTGGGAGGGTGACAGGCCTTCTCTCTCATCCTTGTCCTCCTTCCCAGGGGGAGGGCAGGGCCTGCCTTCAGGCTCTAGAGCCAGGAAGGAGGCATACTGCACAGCAAAGAACTTCCCAGAAAAGTTGGCCCGCCACACTCTGGGGAGAGACCCAGAAAACGAAAGCTACAGGCCTTGCTGGCAGGGGACAGTCTCATCGTGTCCGCATTGGGTTCAGGCACGTCTCACTCTTTGCTCTCAGACTCTGCCTTTCCCCAACTTGCTGACTGAGGTTTCCCTAGATTCCATTTTCCATAGGGACTTCCCAGCCTCCACTGACACCCTGTGGGGGGAGGAGCTGTGCCACCTGAGCTGGTGAGGGCCCATTCTTCAGATCCTGAAGGCTGGAGAAGCATAGCACCTCCCACCCCCACCCCCAAGGAGTGTCTCTGCACTGCCCTTTAACCCTGAAGCCACATTGACTTCTACCCGCTCCAGGCACACACACACCCTTAGGGAATTGGAAGTGCCTCAGGCTGAGGAAAGGGCCACCTTGCGTTTCCAGCTGTGGAGGAAATGGGAGCAGGCAGGGGGCCTTGGCATCTCCGTGCACCCGCCCAGCTGCTACATGGCCCTGGCCCAACTTCCCTTCCCTGTCTTGAAAGGGCAGACAGCCCCATGTCTCCGTGGTGTCAGCCGGGACAGGAACGGGCTTGCTAAGTTCAGGAGCTGGCCATGGTGTGACTGGAGCAGGAAACGCAGCTCACACACCTGGCTGTTTACTCTGCGTCCTCCATACTCCGGAGAAGGGCCCGCTTTCCCCACCCCTGCTGGTGCCCAGGGCCTGCGTCTCAGAGGAAGGAGGCTCAGGTGCAGCCCCCTCCTTCCTAGCCAGAGCCCCAGTTTCTGCTAATGTCTGCTTCTGGAACCTTCACAGAACAGGGCAAGAGAGAGGAGTCTGGGAAGGGTGGTGTTCAGCAGAAGCCATGCATGTACCCAGTGCCACTGTCTGTCCCTTTTTCTGGATGAGCTCAGATTGTCTCTTACCTGTCCTCAACGCCTGGTTCACAGGTGGGTCTCGGGGGAGGGAGAGGTCCAGATGGGCTGGGCGCTTCCCATACTGTATGAAACCTTTCTTTTCCAAAAATACTACTATAAAAACTGCTGTCTTTGTGGCGATTTCTATGCACCCGTTGAATCACCTCCCCTTACGCTGGATCAAAGTCTTCCTTGAAAGGGCCTCCCCTCAAAGGTCCAAGGGATCACTTCTAAGTTCAAGGAAGAAATGCACTCAGCCCTCCTTGCAGGTAATGGGTAAGGTTTGGGAAATAAGCTTCTAAAATGTGGTTAACAGAGGCCTATCTTCAGGACTACCATTTCCTTCTTTTTATTCCTGCCTCCTCCCCGCAAAAAAACACATGTTCAGAATAGTTTTCCTGGGATTTTCCCTCTAGATTCAGTGATGGGAATCAGCGTAAGACTCAAGTTGTGAAACCCACACACGCACACACGTACTCCCAGGCTGCTCTTTTCTCTCACTAAATCCCCCACTGCACAGATTTTCCTCCAGGGTGTTCCTCAGATCCTGGACCCACCTTCACTCCACCTCCCTCCTAGAAGATAGATTCTTTGGGGGAATGAAGGGGGAGCAAGATTGCCTGAAACCTCCTGGGGCAGAGACTGGCCTCTGTACCAATTCCAGAGTGGCTCCAAGATCCCTTTTAGCCCAGGGCTTTGTACACAGTACAGAGGCCTCTGAAATGCAGAGATCTCTCAGATAGGCGTCTTTCCCGGCCTTCCCCTGACCAGCCCATGGCTCTGTGGCCCTTGGATATTTTCTTTGGCAACTCTCGCTAGCAGCTTGTTCAGTGCCCTCTCAAAGAGGGGCCTCAGTCCTAAGAGCACTGCTCCTTTTCAGGGTCATGTCTCTCTACCCTAAACCCAAAAGGACCAGTCAATAATAACTGGTATTGTCTTATTTAAGATTAATTTTAAAAATTTAATTGTATTTGGGTTATCCGAATAAAGAACATACATTTTAGAAAAATAACCTTAGAAAAGATGAAGAGTGTCCTATGTGAGAAGTAAGGGAGATGACTCATTTTCAGAAATACCAAATAAAAGCTGTGCTGTCTACTTAACAGGTTTACAACCTATTGGAAATATGTAGAACCCCACTTCCCGACAGCCAGCAATGGAGTCCCAAACCCTTAGACATTTCCAGGTTCGTCCCCTCACCGTTTTGCAGACTTATTTTCGCAGGCTTTGCAATGAACATGCTCCAGAGAACAAAGGGAGGAGGACTGAAAGTCTCTGCATCACCTCAAGGAACATACAGTTGTTCCAATCAGACTGCTTTTTGCCTTACATGAGCATAGGTGACATCTGGGTAAGGCTGTAACCTCTGTAGTACTCAGCCAATGAGGAACGGGGGGAGGGGCTCGCATGCTAGGAGATAAATAGTCTGCTGTAAGTGCCCCCAGTGTGCCTGTCTGTCACACACCTGCTCTTGCAAGAATGTTGATTAAAGTCTTGCTTCACTGTGCTCGGAGTCTCCACGTCCCTCCTTTGATTGGGTCGGTGGGCTTCTTTCTCACATCCTATAATCCTTTCTGTCAGAGCGCCACATTTTTGCTCTAGTGAATTCCATCAAAACTGATTTAGTGCCTCCTTCCCTGGTGGAATTGGGGGCAGTCTGTTCCCCACAGCCTAACCTCCCTGCTCAAGAGCTTTGAATGGCCTTTACTGCTCATTGTCCAGGCTCTCTGGGCCCAGCCCTATCCTCAGGATGTCCCCTCTGTCCCCCCACTCCAGCCCAGCCAGCCACCTGGTGATCAGTCCCCCAGTGTATCCTGCCTCTGTTTCTTGCATCAGCCCTAGGATCTGTCTGGTTTTGTCATCTTAGCCCAGCCACCACCCCTGCAGGGCCATCTTCACCTCAGATCCTGCTGTTCCTTTGAGGCCTCTCCTAGCTTAGTCACTTCCTCCCTGAAGCCTTCTGAGCTGCATAGCACCCCTCCCCCACCAAGAAAACCTAGAAGGACACTTTCTCCTTTTGATCCATGGGGAAGCTAAGATTTATTATTTGTTGACCAAATGATTGCCTTCCTGAAGTATCCTTTTCTTTTATGTTTGTTTATTTTTGAGAGTGAGGGAGAGACAGCATGAGTGAGGGAGGGCCACAGAGGGAGGGAGACGCAGAATGGAAACCAGGCTCCAGGCTCTGAGCTGTCAGCACAGAGCTCGACCGTGGGGCTGGGACCCACAAACTGTGAGATCATGACCTGAGCCTCAGTCAGATGCTTAACCAACTGAGCCACCTGGGTGCCTCTGAAGTATCTTTTTCTAATGTCTAAGTGTTTGTGGCTGTGTTTTAGCCAAGGTACAGTGTCTGGCACACAGGCCTGCGTCTGCTTTATGGGGGCAGTGGGGGCGGCATGAGCTTTTTTGCCAAGGCTGAGTAGTTAGAAAGAGTTCTGAATGTTCTGAAAGCTGTGGAAACTCCTTAAGACCAGGACAGGCTGGGGAAGGGGAGCCTGTGGGAAGCACCCGGCTTGCAGGCAAGCTCACTGACAAGCCAGCCCAGCTGGGGGATTCAGGCACAGACAGCTGCAGGATCTGACAGGAGCAGCTGGCTTAGAAACTGGATCTTGCCCAACCTGGGGCAGCACTGCCCGGAAGGCACACTGGGGGTCCCCTTGGCTTTCCCCACTGTGTCTTTTCCCTGCCTGCATTGTATGGTGTCGCCCAACCTGTGAGCCTCAGCTGTCGTGCTGAAGAACAGGCTGGGCCCCGGGCACATTAGACGCTACAGGGGAGGGGTAGGTGGCTTCCCTTCTTGGGATTTTGCAGTGTAGTATTTGAGTTCAACAAGACGGTACTCCGTGGTACCATGGTGCCCTCAAAAGTGGTTCTGGCCTCTGCCCTAAGAAGGCTCCTGGATCTGTGCAGAGTGGCTGCTGCTGTTTCTGGGGCACCTCCAGATACTCTAAGAGAGGAGGATGGTATAGAGAGGGAAAGTGGGGGCCCGGGGGGTCTTGGGCTGGTTCTGAGCTCTAGCCCTGTTATCACCGTGCTTAAGCCCTGCTGCCCATCTCTGGAGCCCGCCTCTCCCATCCCAGCTCAGCCTCAGTTAGTTATCAGCCACAGGCACAACAGTGGGGTTGTTTCCTGCCACCCTCCCTATCTTAGACATAGGAGTCTGAAGGGGACAAGGCAACAGGCACCTCTGAGTGGAGAAGGGGTTGCCCTCAGACAGGAGTTCAGAGTGCCAAGAGCAGGCTGTTTTACTCAGAAGCCACGCCTGTCTTTGAGGGTCCTCCCTGTGCCTCACTTGGTCTGCACAGCAGGTGAATGTCCCGTAAATGAATGGGCAGCAAAGGAGTCCAAGGGCATCCAGGGATCAAACCATTCCCTGATCTGATGCAATTGGTCTTTGTCCTCATTGCACATTGCTCCCCCCTCCAACCCTGAGTGTCCAGGGGGCAAAAGTAAGGGTATGAGTTGGAGGATAAGGTGTGTAGATGCTTAACCAAAGCTGTCTCCCATCTGCCTCTCCTCATTTCGCCTGCCTCCTCGGGTCAACGTGGTTTCACTGTCCATAGAAGGCTGCACATCTGTCTGTGCAAGTGTTGTCCTGCCAAGGGGCAAGCTGGACACCCAGGGGCCATGTCTCCACATAGCGAATGGTGGCACCTGGCGTGGGTGGGTGCCTCAGGGAACGGAGCAGGGCCACAGATCCCAGGCAGAGGTCAGAGTGGACAGGTCCCCAGTATGCCAGGACCCCAGGACAAGGCTGACTGGCCGTAGGGGTTTCGGGACGGCAGAGATTAGATTTCTTCTTCTGAATGAAGGGAGGACAGTCATTCATCAGAGAAAGAGCTCTGAGTGAGTGGGTCTATAGCCCTTCTTAAAGACACCTCCTTGGAAACTCACTGGAAGCCCAGTGGTGGGCTGAGTCCCTAACCTTGGCCACTGGGCCTGGGAACAGGAGTCTGGAGGGGATGGAGTTAGGGAAGCCTGTCTCTCTCTGTTCTTTCCAGGTCTGCTACCTGTGCCACAGCCTTCTGACACTGGCCGGGGTGGTGGTCAGCTGCCAGGACATTACTCCAGACCAATGGGTAAGTTACCCAAGAGGCCGAGATGGAGGCCAGCCCACTGTCAGGAGCTGCAAGGAGTGGGAGGCTGAGAAAGAAGAGGGCCAGGGGAGCCAGGTGCCTGCCTTCTCCCAGTGTCCCACGGGGCAATCCTAAGGGATACTGACCCAAGCCCCCAGCAGCTGTTCCTCTCCTCCCCTTCCTGCCCAACTTCTGAGCAGTCATTCAGATCTTTCCCCCTCGGAGTGCCTGGGTGGCTCAGTGGGTTCAGTATCTGGCTCTTGATATCTGCTCAGGTCATGATCTCATGGTCATCTCATGGTCGTGATCCCATTGTCATGAGATCAAGCGCCGCATCAGGCTCCTTGCTGAGTATGGAAGGCTGCTTAGGATTCTTTTCCTCTCTCTGCCCCTCCCTCACTCTCTCTCCCTCTCAAAAGTAAGTAAATAAACTTAAAATATATATTTCAAAAATAATCTCTCCCTCCCTTTCTCTGACTTCATTGTCCCTCCTTCCCTACTATGGATGGGCCTGGCCCATGCTACACCCTCCCCCATGCATACCCCACCCCTGCAGGGAGAGCTGCAGCTGCTGTGCATGCAGTTGGACCGCCACATCAGCACCCATATCCGGGAGAGCCCCCAGGCCATGCACTGGACCAGACTCAAGGACCTGGCAGCCCAGACCTACATCCGCTGGCAGGAGCTCCTGGCCCACTGCCAACCCCAGGTGGTGCCCCCTCCAACCCCCAGCTTAGGAGGGGAAAGAAGTGGTCAGGTGGGCTGCCCAGAGCCAGCAGCATGTCCACCCCCGCTGCAGCTCCTGAGCTCCTGACTGGCAAATGGGTGGAGAAGGCAGCCTGGGGGTTGGAGCCGCCTTGGAGGACCTTCATCATTCTTATCAAGAATCAAATGTCCTGGGGGGCGCCTGGGTGGCTTAGTCGGTTAAGCGTCCGACTTTCGCTTAGGTCATGATCTCGCAGTTTGTGGGTTCGAGCCCCGCGTCGGGCTCTGTGCTGACAGCCAGCTCAGAGCCTGGATCCTGCTTCAGATTCTGTGTCTCCCTCTCTCTCTGACCCTCCCCTGCTCATGCTGTCTCTCTCTCTCTCTCTCTCTCCTAGAAATAAAAATTAAAAAAAATTTAAAAAAAAAAAAAAAAAAAAAAAAAATTAAAAAAAAAAAAAAAAAAAAAAAGAATCAAATGTCCTGGGGCGCCTGGGTGGCTCAGTTGGTTAAGTGGTTAAGCATGGGGCCTCTTGATTTCGGCTCAGGTCAGATCTCCACAGTTCTGGTTTCTGAGCCCTGAGGCAGGCTCTGAGCTGACATTGAAGAGGAGCCTGCTTGGGATTCTCTTTCCCTCTCCCTCTTTCTCTGCCTCTTCCCCAACTTGTGTATGTGCGTGCGCACACACACTCTCTTTCTCTCAAAAGAAATATATATACTTTTAAAAAAAAAGAGAGAAAATCAAATGCCCAGTGTGGGGGGGGTAGTGAGGGAGAAACAGAGAGCCCAACTTCTGGGCAAATGCAAAGAAAAACTTCACCCTAAAGAGCATAGAGCCTGGGCGAGGAGTAGCAGTGAGTAGGCCCAGGAAGGGGCACCTCTGTCTACCCTCTGCCCACTTGTCCTGCAAGCCTGAGGCTGGCCTCCTACTCTATTGGGAGGGACCGTCTCAGTCTGCCCTGGTCCCTCCAATTTCTGAAGCAAGAACCTCCACTCCTGATTTTCCCCAGCTCTCTACGTACTAATACTCATAGGTAATACTTATTGAACTAAGACCCTTTTCTCTAGGAGTCTAGATAGCCCCCATGAGACAGAGGTATTGTTATGGTCCCATTTTGCAGATGAACAAGCTCACCAGAGTCACTGAGAGGTTATAGCTTGCCTCATCAGGCAGGCAGCATGTAAATGTCAGAACCAGGGCACAGATCCAGCCTGACTCCCGAGCCTGCACACTTAAGCACAGCCCAAGCCCTGCTCTGGTAGCCTCTCTTCTGGCCTCTGTCCCTCTGACAGGCAGCACCGGCTGGCTCAGGGGCTCTTCCCTCCCCTAGCCCCCAGCCCTTGATGGAGACAGGCTGGGTCTGGTGAGAATTTCTCCACCCATCTTCCCAATGCTCCTGGGCTCCCAACTTGCCTGTTTTCTGACTTCTCTCTGCTTGTCCTTCCTCCCGTAACCTCTGACTTGGGTCTGACACATTGGCCACAGGCTGTGGCTTGGGTCTCAGATTTCACAAGTCTCTGAGAAAGCTGTGGAGAGCCAACCTCACCCTCAATCCCCAAGGAACTAGATCATACTAGTCTCTGGTGGGGAAAAGCCTGTTTGTCATGAAAAGAAGAAGTGATTCGTGGCCTGGCCGAGTCAGAGGGCTGGCCCCCCTTCCTTTCACACTGTCCTGGGCCTTTGAGCCATGAGTAGAGGGAACCCAGACAGAGCACTCACGTGCTGTGGTGAAGTGGCCTGTTGACCTGCCGTGTCCTCTCTTGGACTGGGAGCCACAGGACTCTTGCAGTTCAGCACCTGGCACGAGGAGCCTGAAGTGGATGTTGATGCTGGAGAGTCTGGGAGCGGGAGCGGGACAGTGGCTACCACCTGGGCCACGGCCATCACACTGTGTTTTTCTCCTTGTCACAGGCCCAGTACTTCAGCCCCTGGAAAGACTAAAGGATCAGGGCAGGGCTGGCCCCAGGCTCTTGGCTCTGGCAGGAAGCGAACAGGGATCAGGGAACAGGAGGAAGCTAAGAACAGAGGCGAGAGGAGGACCAGTGTGATGAAGCAAGAGCCTGCCTCCACAGGCCCCTGACCCCCACCAGGCAACGGATATGGCCTCTCCCTGCCTGGCCCCCCCCTCCTTCTCCTTCCCTCCCAGCCATCTCCTCTGCCCCAAGGCCTTTGTCTCCACACTCCTGTTTCCCAGGGCCTCCTGGGCCCTCCCCACCCTCCTTCCTCTCTCCGGCGAATGTGAGCTTTCTTTGTGCACACTAAAGTCTTATTTCAGCGTTGGTGGTTTAGAAGATTTCCTTCAATCCCTGTCCTGAGGGTTCATGCCCAGTGTCCAGTTTCCTGACAACTCTGCTTTGCTCCGCTGAGTTCCCACCTCAGACAGTCATGTGACTGGGTGTTCTTAGGCCCCGCCCCCTGCCCCAGAAGGCTGTTTGTAAATCCTGAGGGAGGAGCAGTTATTCCTGTGGCCCCAAGAACTGTCAGAAACCCAGGGAGCAGGGATGGGGAACATTTGTTTGGACCCAGTCTGGGTCAACCCCACCCCCATTTGCTGGGGAGGATACACGGAGTGAAATGGCGGGTCAGGGCAGTAATTACACTTAATTCAGTTTATTGTTGAGTTCGGAAATCAACTCCCCAGACTTAGGAGTTGGGGTGGGGGGCAGCAGAACCAAAAGACAGTTCTGGATACTGCTAGTGCTTTCCCTCAGCTTTACCCAAGATCGGTTTTGTGGGCCCTGATTCTTAGTGAAGTGCTGGATGTCTTTGACCTGACCCCCTTGAGAAGTAAGTGGGCCCTGTGCCCCTCCCCCACTGCCGGGTGATCCCTGGGTATCCCCATTCTCTGTCTACTCCAACCCTGAGAACCCATTTTAGTCTCAGGCTCTTCCTGACTCTGGGTTGGAAGCGGGTTTTGCAAGGGCCATAAAAGGTGAAAGTAGCAGAGGATGGCCTGTGCACGGCTGGCCTGTGCCCACTCCTCAGCTCAACCCGAGTGTCTGCCAGTGGAGCTTCACCGTGGCTGGTGCTTATGACTTCCTCGGTTTATGTGCCCCTCTCCTTTGATCTTTCATGCCACAGGGGTCAGGGTAAGGCAGGCTAACTAGGAGAAAGACCCCCCCCAAAATAAAGGACCTTCGGGCCAAGTGGCTCAATTTGCAGACCTGAAGAGTAGCCCGTCGCTTCCTGGGCCTTCTTTAGACACAGCTGCCTCCCTTGCTGGGTCCCCAGAATGCTGGGAGCTGGGGGCATCTATAATTCAGAGGGCATGAGAATGCAGCAGAGTGCCGGGTCATCTCCCTTTGCCAAGTAAGAGGTGGAAGAAGTCCTCGCCAGGGTGACTTGGATGCCCAGGGTGACTCGACAGAGTTCTGGTTTCTGTTCCTGGCCACATCACAGGCCCTCCTGGCCGGAGCACCACTGAGGCCCCAGCGGCATCAGGTAGGCCCGAGATCCTCTGATAAAAGAGCGAAGGCTCTGGTGAGCCAGCCTCCTTCACCTCCCTCAGGGCTGCCCCTGCTTCTGACACTGCACATCCTGACAGTTAATCCTGAGCTCTTCAGTTTACTCTGGAAACCTGGAAATCACCTTTGAAATTTCCCCTCTTTGTTCCCACTGCCAAGGGCAGAGAGGGAGTAGGGAGGCCCGAGAAGCTGAACAGGGGAGTTTCCAGTTCTCGAAGCTGCCTCTGCGTGGCTCTGAGAAAGAGATGGTGCTGTCCATCAGCATAGACACCTGGAGCCCTTCTCTGCAGTCCTGGTTCGTGTGCACTGATCCCTCCTCCCCTGCTCCCCCAAACACACTCATCCCCAAGAGGGAAATAGATACCAAGGAGAAAGGAGGTGTTGGTGACTACTCAATTCCTCTGGAGACCTAGCTGTAACCTGAGCAGAGGGGTGCACTTCGAGGTCACCCAAGGGCGTCCGATATCCCCTGGGACATGTAACGGGCCCTCTCGGGAACTGGCTGGGAGCTGACCACATCTTCTCAACCTGGTGTGGGACCAGTTTGAGACTCAGTCTCCTCTAGGCCAAGAATTCCACAGTGATGCTGGCAAACTTCACCACTTGCCCTTTCCAGATCCCTAAGCCCCTGGGAAAAGGCTGAAGGATATCCTGATTGAAGCCACTGGAAAAGCAGCGTCCGGGGCTGTGATGACGGATGTTTTCCTGCTTCCTCTTCGTGATGGTGGCAGGGAGGGGCTGGGAAGGGAAAGGCTTCCCAGGTGGACAGCTTTGATAAATCTCCTTTAGGAGGAAGTAGAAAGAGGAAGTCTTTTTCCTATGTCCCCACTCACCTCGGTCCCCAAGCCCTCAGAAAGATCCCTAAAGGGTAGCTGACCCAGGCTTTCTCATTTCCCCCTCTGTGGGATGACAACAGCTCCTGGATCGTTTGGAAGTTGGCCAGGCAGTGATGACTGAAGAACCCCCGTGTGAACCCTGAGCTCCATTCCCATTCAAAAGCTGCCTCATGACAGCCAGGAGTAAAGAGCTCAAATGAGGGACACCATGGCACATGACCAACATGTGGAGGAAAGAGGGGGGGCTTACTGTTCAGATAAGACCCCTGGGCGCCTGGGTGGCTCAGTCAGTTAAGCGCCTAACTTTAGCTCAAGTCATGATCTCACAGTTCCTGGGTTCAAGCCCCAGGTCAGGGTCTGCACTGGCAGTACGGAGCCTGCTTGGGATTCTCTTTTCCCTCCCTCTGTCCCTCCCTTGCTCACGCTCTCTCAAAATAAATACAAGTGAAACTTAAAAAAAAAGATTCCTGGGCCCATCTGTAGGAACTGGCCTGAGCCGAGCTGGCATTTAGCCTATCTGTGCCTTTCCTTGACGTGGCCACAAGCAGGTGAGCAGGACAGTCTCTCAAGGACTAAGGCCTGAAGGGTGGGCTCCTTAAAAAAGAACATGCCAGACAGGCCCTTAGGGAGACATGATGGGTACAGGAGCCTTTTCTTTTTTTTAATGTACTTTTTTTTCTTAATTTAAAACCCAGGAATCCTCATTTTTGACCAGTTGTGCTTTTATTAAAAAGTATGAATCATGAGCAAGTAGTCATGCAGGAAACTTTATCCTCTGCCCACCCACCCACAGAAAAGGCCAGTGCTGGAAATGAACAGAACACAGCAGGAAATGAGTGAAGGTAGAAAACGGGAGCGGGGGAGCTGCAGCTTTATCTTTGAGGAGCATTTGGGAGGGAAGGACTCCGGGAGTCTGTTAGCAGGAACAGAAAAGCCTGCCACAAGGCACAGAAGACTGTCCCTGCCAGTGAAACCAAACCACCTTTTGAAACTTTCCACTGGGGCCATTTTGCAGGTGGAGCCAGGAGCTCAAGTCTCCGCCTGGTGGGGGTGGAAGTGGAGGTGAGGAAAAACAGCAGGGAATACACTGGGGCTTAAAAGTTGTCAGGACACACTCTGACTTGGTGGCAAAAACAGAATTGGGAATCCCGAGACCTGATTTAACATTCTGACCTTGCTAATTATCTTCAAGACTTCAAGCAGGTTGCTTAACCCTTCTAAGACTCATTTTATCTATACAATCAGAGAAACAATACCTATCTTTTAAAGACTGGCCATGAGGGTGATGTGAGGAAATGTATGTGAAGGCAGATTGCAGTCTTAAAAGTCCAGAACAAATGTAAGGTGTATTTGCATATCAGTTTACCTCCACTTACAAATAGACCCAGGATCTAACCTGGATGAGGAGACCTACCCATCATCCTCCCTGCAGGCTGAAGCCCAGAGCCTTCCCTGCCCACCCCATGCTAAATTGTTAACTGGCTTGCGCTCTATCTCCAGCCATCTCCAAAATCACAGCTTTTTTTCTGGTGGAAAGGGGCTGGGAAATGTGGCTTTGGCCAGTGCAGGAGAAGGGGCCTTTATGTGTACCAGCAAAGACCCGATTGTTACTGAAAACAAACTGGGCTGCTTTTCCCAATTATCTCCACTACTCTTCTGGTCTCCACTTTCAGATGCCAAGTTTTAACTCAGAACAAAAGCTCCTGTCGGGACTGATTTATAATCCAGATCTGCTGACGGGGCCCTCCAGTGTACCTCCCCTCCAGGACTGGACCCGCTTAAAGTTACCACCAGAGCCTTGGGGCTCCAGTCTCTTTACCTCTGTCATTTGCCCTTAGCCAAGAGGAGGCATCTGTGTTTGGGTGACGGTGGGCCGGCCTCCCTGGAGTTTGTCCACCTGCCCGGCTCCGAGGACCAGCTGGCAAGGTCCACCCCAGCACGGAGGCCAGAGCTACAAGTGACTTCTAGGAGCCTCTGAGGACAGAGGCAGGCGAGGCGATTCTAAAGGGGGTGGTTCTCCAGCGCGGCTCCCCTCAGCCTCTTTCATCTGAACATCAGTGCTCATGTCACTTTTTATTCAGCCATCCAGTGGCAACAGAAGGAGTCATTTCTTGGGGGTAAGCTCTGTGCAACAGGAGTGGAGTTGTCTTCACAGGGAGCTGGGCAAGGGCGCTGCTGTCCCTCTGTGTGGGGCATGGAAAACAAGGGGCAGACTCTCCGCAGATCAGTGAGTCTTCCTGGCTGGTAAGACCTGTTCCAGTCTGACCGCGGGGGCCAGTGGGCCTTGGGACCAAGAAACGAAGCGGAATTGGGGGCCAAAAGAGAGACCACTTTGGTCCGCCCAGAAGAGGAGCCTCGGTTTCCCCTGCACCCCTCACTCGGATACTCGCTCCGAGGTGGCTTGCTCGCGTTCGTTCCTGTAACTGCAGCGTGGGGAGCCTTCAGCTCCATATCTGAACCCGGGCGCCCTGTCCGAGGTTCGCCTTAGGGTACACTTCAGAAAGACGAGGTGAGTCCGATCCCCCCCAAGGCAATGAGAGTTCCTCCCCCGCCCCACCTCCCGGCGCGGTGGCGCAGACCGCCACTCCGAGGCGCGGGGCGGCGGGGCGCGGGGAGGGTCGGGGGTCGGAGCCCGCAGGCGGGGAACTGGGGGTGCCGGCAGGTCGCGGCGGGTCGCAGCCCCCTCCGGGGCCGGCCTTCGCGTCCCGCCCCCGGCCTCCGCTCGACACCCCCCCCGCCGCCTGACGTCAGGGGGGAGGGGGCGGAGAGCGGCGGCAGCGCTGGAGAAAGAGCCGGCGCCCGGCGCGGTGGCGCGGGGAGCCCGAACCCAGGGGCGCCGAGCCGAGCCGGGACCGAGGGGCGGTGGCAGAGGGGACAGCGGAGGAGGGCGGGCGGGCGGGCGCGCGCAGGCGGGCGGTGGCGCGCGGGTAGGGGCGGACCGTGATCTGAGCCGAACGCGAGGGCGGCGCCCAGGG